CACTCACATTTGTGATTCTGTATTGTGGTAGGCAAGTTCCTTGGTTTTAGAATTGATAAGCCCCTTCATTCACACGATCTTGGTCCTGACTGAATAAACTACATACACATTGAAAGGTTTCCCTGCAAAAAGAGACTTGACACTATGAAACTTTCAATTTTGCGTTTGCTCACTTCGTGTATAATGCTAGAAATTTGCTAAAAGTAGAAACATCAAGCAATAATTAAACTTAAATAACATTGATCAATGCATGATTTTTTCATGAACTTCTAAATTAATAACATTTTAGGAAATTTATTTAATGTAGGGCTATGTATAGCAAAACTGGGGAAAAAAAAACGTTAATATCTAATTTTTAGAGGCTTTATCTTTTTTAATTTTCTACAGGGCTCTCCTTTATCCTATCTCTACCCTAAAACAACTATAGGAAGAAAATATTGAGAATTTTTTTATCAACTGGAAGCATCTCCAGAACTCACTTCTTTTACAAAGAAAGTTACTGAGCCAAATTCTCATTTGCTTTCTGGTAGAGTCATTGACTGACTAGAGAAATTGCTGCAAGTGTGAGGCATATCTGTTTATAAAGTTTAGTCTAGTTGTACTTTTCTTTCTGTTTTCTTATATATATATATATATATATATATATATATATATATATATATATATATATATATATATATATTTAATATAACTTGTTATATTCATCAAAAGCAGCCTTAAAGACTCAAGCGCACAACCAATGAACCAAACTTGTCAAAGTTAATGGGACTGAAACAATTTTATAGAATATCACTGATGATCCAGAATATATGCCAATACTCTCATTTTAATGATGTGTTTAACTAATAGCATAAAATGGAGTGATAAAGTTAAAACTTCATATTTTCAGTGGTTTGTTGAAAGCTGAGTAGCTGAATACTATGCTACAAAAATACTATATTACCGTGATTTCTTTCTGTTGTCTCTCTTGTACTGCTGTTTGTTCTTAGGGATTTTTGTGTATGTCATATGCAGCCCATCAAACTAGAGTTTGAGAAGGTTTATTTTCCATATTTGCTGATTAGCAAGAAGAGGTATGCTGGCCTTTACTGGACAAACCCTGACAAATATGATAAGATGGATACTAAAGGTGAAATCTGGGATTTCCTGTTTAGTCTTTCTTGAAGTTTCCTACATGTGGTTGCAATTTAGTTGAATTACTTATTCTTGTTGCCCCATTTATCTATTGTCATTGACAGGTATTGAGACAGTAAGGAGAGACAATTGCTTGCTGGTTAAAAACTTGGTTAATGAATGCCTGCATAAGATACTTATAGATAGAGATGTCCCCGGAGCTGTCCAGTTTGTGAAGAATACTATCTCAGATCTGTTAATGAATCGTCTGGATCTGTCATTATTGGTCATTACTAAGGTGGGAAAAATTTAACTGTAATATGCTATGATATTTTCATGAAGCTTGCCTACTCTATTATTTTATTTTAGTGTTTTCTGAAAGTTCTCTTAATCTTTCTGTCTGCTGAAGCTAATATCTGTTTCTTATAGGGCCTGACAAAAACAGGAGAAAATTATGAAGTAAAAGCAGCTCATGTTGAACTTGCTGAACGTATGCGCAAGGTGTGTAATCTTTTTATTATATTATGATCTTGTCCTCGGTGGTGCTGTAGAGTTTTAGTGACTTAGCATCCTAGCAAGTTATCTCTTACATTGATAATAGCTAATGATAATAGTTGATAACAACAAGATCTGGTTTGGGTCTTCCCTTGGCTGTTGAGATGTATAAATATCAAGAAAAATGAACTCTCTCATGTGACGGATACTGATAGGAGGAGCTTCTGGAAAGTGTATGGATTCAAGTCCATCCCGTAGGCCTTCTTATTTCCCCTTCTAATTTCTTCCCACCTCATCATTAGGGCATCTAATTCCTTATTTCTGTTGTGACCATTTAAGTATCATGATTATCACCTTACATCTTCCCCTCTTTTTATAGTTGACAAGCCTGCCTCGTAAATCACTAAATTTTGAATTTTTCCATCTTGGTATACTCTTATTAGAAGCACACATCTTTCTAATTTAAGTTAAACAGAGGAAGTATCAAAATATCATATACTGATATACATAGATTTTGAAGAGAAAGGTGATGTCATGTTAATTATTTTACACTTCATTATCTAGAACAACTGAACAAGTTCAATTTTTTTTTGTGTTTTGGTTGACTTTATAAATGGAAATCAGATTGAGATTTATCAGCTAGGGAATATATGAGAGTTCTGTGATTCAGTCTGCACATCACATTACCATTTGTCCATGTTAATCTTTTGCTAAGCTTTTACTCTATTGAGTGCCTTCTATATGAAACACATACACTTCTGAATCATTGACATTTTATCAGTCATGTTCATTTCTTCTGAATGCAGATACAAGTCGGCTGAGGTGGTTCATCTTCTTAGTATTAGACTTCCAAAATAAAAAATATATGAAATATCTAATCTCTTTTTCTCTTAAATTTGACAGCGAGATGCTGCCACTGCTCCCAATGTTGGTGATAGAGTACCTTATGTCATTGTAAAAGCTGCCAAAGGTGCCAAGGTAATTGGTAGCTCCTCTGTTGTTTATAAAGAATGTAGGCTCTAAATTGCAGGTTTTCAAATTGCTGAATATTATTTTCAGGCATATGAAAAATCAGAGGATCCAATCTATGTGCTGGAAAATAATATACCGATAGACCCTCAATACTACCTTGAAAATCAAATTACCAAAGTAAGTCATGCTTTAGCTTGATTCTTTTTTATTGTCAAATCTTATATCTTCCATGATCTTGCTTCTGATGGATTTGCTTATTTTGTAGCCCATATTGAGGATCTTTGAACCGATTTTGAAAAATGCAAGCAGAGAGTTGCTTCATGGAAGTCACACTAGATCTATTTCCATATCTACTCCTTCAAATAGTGGCATCATGAAATTTGCCAAGAAACAACTCACGTGCATTGGCTGCAAAGCAGTGATTAGGTAGTGTTTTGCCACATCCTGTTTTCCCTTTTTAAAATCAGACTCTGTTTAAAATGTCTCCTGGGTGACCTCCCTCACTCCCATAGTCCCATGGGTGGAAAAAAAGGATTCCCTGTATTTGATGTGATGTGGGTCAGATGCTGGGAAGGATAGTATGGACTATGTGGAGCTAAGTGCACCAAATGTATTGTGTGGCAGTGATTTTATTGGTGAATTTATTGTACTGCGATTTATTTTCAGTCTGGATGAAGAGAGGCATTAGGATACCTGGTAGGCTGGTACTGACTGGAATCTCAATTCGTCCTATTAGTCTGCAAGATGAGCAGTGAACCCAGGAAAATTTTAGTGGTTCTGTCTTCTGTGTAGGCTGATAATTGCTAGTGCAAACATGCTTACTATAGCTTCAACTTTTTTTTTTTTTCTCCTTAATTGGCTTGGCTATGCCATACTGCATGATCATCAAATTTGCATCTTTTTTAAGTTGTTTTACCCCATCACACATCCTATTCCAAAATTTGACCCTTACTTTACTTTTGTTTCTGACTATGTGCTCTTTCTCTTTCTCTCTCTCTTTTTCTTTTTTTTTTTTTTTTTTTTTTGGGTGTGTGGGTGTGTGAGCAACTTCAGTATTTTGATTCCTTTTTTGACATATTTACTTTGATTTTGAACTAGTGGCTCCAACAAAACCCTTTGCTCACATTGCAAGGGAAGAGAAGCTGAACTTTATTGCAAGACTGTAGCTAATGGTGTGTAAAATATCTCATATATCCTTTTAGCATGTTCTTTTAACTTTAGGGTGCTTACTGTCAGAAAATGTTGTTTCCTTACAGTGTCCGATTTTGAAACCCTTTTTGGGAAGCTATGGACACAATGCCAGGAGTGCCAGGGTTCCCTTCACCAGGATGTGCTTTGTACAAGGTATATGAGCTGTTATGCCTCTGATGCTTTTGGCTTTCTCCACCCCCCACCCCTCCTCTAACCACTTGGTTATTCTGACCTTTTTAGCTCATCACTTGTCAAACACTAACCTGATGTACATGGGTCCTTTTCAAGTTATCATTGTCATGTAGCTCTGATGCTTCTCTTGACTGACTTGTATATATTATAGCATCCTCATATTGTCTTTTCCTTTTCTTTCAGTCGTGATTGCCCGATATTTTATCGAAGAAAGAAAGCGCAAAAAGACATGGGTGAAGCCAAGCTTCAGCTAGATAGGTGGAGCTTCTGAATAAGAGTGTTGCTACACTGTACAGTTACCTTAATGTATTGTGTTTATGGCTGCGCACTGGAAGAACACGACAAATGTTTGTTGGAGCAGTTTAAATGAAGATTGCTTTGCAACGAGTGGAAATTGATCAAATTGTTCAGAATGCTGGATATCTCAATGGTCGCTTAAGTATGACTTAAAGTTCTATGGCCCCTGAGAAAATGTCAAGCGCTTGTTTTGGTATCCTGCAGTGCCTGTTCAGAATTAGGATCTACAAGAAGAAAGGATAAAGGAGTCTACATGCTTCTGCATTGTGCCAGTGTTACAAAAGGGGTGAGATACCTTACGTTGTAACATCAAATAGCAGTAGGGTTTTTTTCTGAGTTGGACAGATTTTAAGTTTGATGTTTAGTATATGGTTGCGGTACCGACCACCATTTTAATTATCCATAGAATTAGTATAATGCTTCAAGGAAACTGCTGTTTTCTTTTTGTACATGATGTATTTTTATTTTGGATCATTAGAGTTGTGTAGCACTGTAACTAAATGTACAAGGGCAGTTAATGAAATGAAGTACTCTGTTGTCCAGTCCGTATGTTTTATCGCAATCTTTGTAAGGCTGGCTGTCTTCAGTGTAAAATAAAATGCTCATGAAGTCATGTTTTTAAGTTTGTGTTATTATGGTTTGTCGGGTACAAGTGAGCCAAGATTTTCAAGTTTCGGAATAGTACATTTTTAGCATCATACACTAAATACGAGTACCATTCAAAGCTGTTCAGAGAGAAATTTAATTCAGAACGACGCATAGTGTGATATATATATTTGGGAATCATTATAAGCTGCATAAAGCTCACACAGTATTACAAATTTACAATGTCTGGTATTGACATATCAAGAATTTCAATGATCACAACAAATAACATAATTTCCAATTACTATAAATAAAACAAATATTACAGATACAAACCATACTACGCTTCACATTATTATTGTGATGGATTCTGCTACATCGATGAAATTTTCAACTATACAGTCTCACGCGTGTTGTGATGGGCTGCTTACACAGTGGACATGTCGAAAGTGTTTCACCACAATCCTTGCATGTCTTGAAATAGTGATAAAATTAATAAGTCAATGATACTTCCAAGCAAGAAAAAGGGGGGGAAAATGCTATTAATGAGGCAGAAGAAAAGCATACCAAATGACCACATCCAAACGCCATGTTTCTCGGATTTGTCAGGCAAATTGGGCAGCACTAAGAGAAAAAAGTCAGGTCTGAGTAAACTTTGCATACAAACATATAGACTCTTATGAAGATTTATGAGAACACTACCTGCTCCAAAGGAACATTAAAATCCACTGGTTCTGCAGAGGAAGAAGTGTGAGCAGCCTGTTTGATCGAATTATCATGATCTATCACTTCATGCGGAGGAGGAAGCGGCTTATTTCGAGGACCATCATTCAAATGCTTACTGCAAACAAAATTTCAGATTTGGGGTATGTTTTTGTCAGTTGTTACCAAATTTTAGAAGATAAAATTCAAGTCATACCTCTTGTTAAATTCAAGCTGTTGGGTGGCTCTGTACTGAAATGGGATTTCCATTAATGCAGCAAGAGCAAATGCTGCTTCTTTCTTTGACATATCCTTCTTCTCCGACATTATCTTAGTGAAATTCACAAACTACATAACAAAAAGTCACAGCTCTTAGGGAAGGTTCTGGAAATCAATGAATTACAGTGTTTGTATTTATTTTTTCTTAAAAAAAAGTTATCTCAAACGAATCAATAATGATCATCCTCCCACAAAGCTAATAGTTGATGCAATGGCAAAGAAGCTCCATCACATGATGCAACACACCTAGTTCCATCCCATTCTTTCTTCACAAGACTGAGGTAAGCACATACATCCTTTCCATCAAAATGAATTAACAGGCAGGTAGCAATAAGAGAGTCAAATTATGACTAGTATACAAAAACCAAATACATAAATCAACCACTGTTACAATACTAGATATATTGTGCTTCTACAGTTGGGCATACTTAAATTATTGTTGCTGGCCATATATCAACCATTGTTTTAACTGCTCATATCAAAGATATAAATCACAAGGAAAAGGACATCAGAGACAATCGCAACACACACACACAAACACACACACCTAAGCTCCCAAAAGAGGGATAGAGAAGAGTTTGAAACAACCCATAGCCAGTTTGTCAAGGAAACCTAAATTGGTCTTCAGTTCATCCGACTATCCGAGTAAGAAGTAAGTAAAAAAAGACAAAGAAAAAAAAAAACTGCATAGAAATGCAGCATTTGGATACCTGAAAATTGTCAAATGCCCGATGAGGAATATTGTCATCAAACTTTTGCATGGCATCCCAGGGTCCATCACCAACACCAACCAGAACAATGGAAAGTGGATAATTGCTGATCACGATGACAACAGAAGAGTTACAAGGTAGTAGTTATGGGTTTAGTGGTTGTGGGAAGATGTCACATTTTTACCTGGCAAGAACAATAGAATTGACTGTTGCTTGTTCTTGGGGACTAAGCTTTCCAGGTTGTAAATCAGGAGTACTGGTTACCTATATGGATTATGATTAAAAAATAAATAAATAAAATAAAATAAAATAAAACATGATGGCAAATTTGTTCTCTAAGTTAACTATTCAAGGAATGATAAGTATTGTAAAGACCTGCCCATCTGCGATGATCACCAGGACATGATATTGCATATTGCTGCTTTGCACTATGTCAATTGCCGCATCTACGATAGGGGAAAATGAGGTAGGTCCTGCAAAGAAAAAGAATTTGTATGAGAAATAAGCTCATAGTCTAAATATCATCCAGTCCTTGCAAGTTCCAAGAAAGCCTAAGAAATAAAAGTTCAAGAGCAGATAAAGAGGTAAACTTCTGGAAATCACATGCAGTGGGAACTAACTGCTATACATATTCTAATATGTCAAAATGTGTGTCAAAATGCATATCAATCCTTAGATAAGTTGCATAAGATGGTATAAGAGTGAGATTGGTAGGGAACATGTTATTTTCCTTGCTCTCTGTCCTACATATAGGCAACAGTACACCTGAGACTAATCTGAAGTGAACTGAACTTCTCAGAATTTATAGGTCTAATCTAAACTCATATATAACTTATTAGTTCCTTCTCTGAACATATCCAAACCAACTTTAGAGTGTGAATTGAGCTTACTAACCTTACCAGGACTTGTAAGTAAGAACCAATTCTTTAAAGGTGAATAATATCGCTCTACTTGACTCTGCTTAATAGCATTTATTTCATTCTCTCACTTGATAATCACCACTTTCACAACACGATATTAATTATTTAGTAAAATATGTTAACAAGTCAAATGTGGTCTAGGCTGGCTATGTTAGAGATCTTTTACAGCTATGCTAGAGAAATATTTAAGACACCCTAAGACCCCTCTCTTCTCTTCCTACATCATGGTTAGAGCTCGTTTGGTGTAGGAGATCAACTCAAACAATTATTATTAGAAAGACAAAACCTATGACTCTGCAAAATTTTCATATCCAACACTGCCATTCTCATTGAATTGTTTCCTCGGCCCACAAAAACTTAATTTAGAGGGGTTTTCTGGAGAGCATGGGACAGGAGGGAGGAAACACCACAAATTCTTTATTGTTCAACAGTCAGCTTGGCCAGAGGAAGAGGATGGCAGTGAAAACTCTTTTCAACTTTAAAAAAAATTATAATTCAAATTGGCTTTGCTGTAATGGATACAATTCTAGAAGGTTGATCAGACAAAGGGGCACAATGAGAACTTGGTCAGGAAGGAAATTATGTGTTTTATCTTCTAATTAATTTGCACAGGTCTCATGTTTATACTACCATTAGATGGCAATGGGAATAAACTAAGATTCTGACAAACCTGATAACCTGATGTACGGAACAATCTCTTTGTATCGTGCAAGCACCTCCTCAAAACCATTGCAAGGACGATGATTAGGATAGAAGCTAAAAACACTTCTGTCACGGGTTGTTGCTGAAAACACCAAGAATTTAGAGGAAAAGCAGCAGTTAGCAATCAAACATATTAATATGATAAAAAGATAGAAGAACTAATATAGCAACTCTGATGAAAACCAACCGTCACCAAATCCAAAACAAGGTATCAAGTTGTCATCGTCAAAAGGAGATAAAGTTCGGCCAATTACAGAAATAGCTTTCTCATAGGGATTTGGATCACGACCAACTGCGTGAAGGCTTCTTCGGTTGAATGAATACTTTCCTTGAGTTGTTCAAGATTAATATGTCATTTAGCAGTACATAAATTGAAATAGTAACTTATTAAAGCATTGTGCTAAATAAGACAATTACCCGACCATTCGTTGCTCTTTGTGAAATCAATACCAAGTATCAAATTTGATGACTCGAGGCCAGCTTCTCTCAGAGCCGCTGTGACCTGGAAATCAGAGCATGACATCTCATTTCATTCTAGAAGCATATTATATAAGACATGTTAGAAAATCAAATTAAAAGAGGAATCATATGTTAATGCTACTAGCAACACTATGATTATACATCCTCCGTTTCTTTTTAGTTGACATATTGTGACTTTGTGCACTATTCACATAAGTTACTTGACTTACTTTTGCGATTTATAATTAAGAAAAAAAAAAGGTCATGTGGGGTATTGTCAGATTCTTCTCAACGTTTATTTTAAAATACCAATGTTTTTATAATTTTTGCATATTTATAGGTTTTGCGTATTTGAATTTATGTGTTGACAAACATATTTAAATGAACGTGTCAACTGTCAACTAATATAAATTGGAGGAAGTACGTGATTTCATAATAGAAGGCATTCAACCTACTAAATATGGTGAACATGCTATGAAGCACAAGTGGCCAAGTGCTCTTAGAACTTAAAAGGTAGGATAAAATTACTTGGATATAATACCAGGAAAAAAAAAAGGGAGGCCAAATATGAAGAATTATCAAAGAAAAACAATATAAACCTCATCCAGAGAGTTGAAGTTGTCAGCTATAAACGTAGGCAGTTGCTTGCCTTTGAGGCTGTGAGTGATGGACATAGAAATTCCTGCACAAGAAGGGGATTAAATTGGAAAAACGTATCCTCACTATCTTATATAACAGATGCCTGATTTCCCATCAAGTAGGAGCTAATCTATGAATTTATGGTTACTGATCAATTAGAATGATGAACTATATCCCGGTGATCGCTCCCTAACCCCCAATTCTAGCCAAACCCATTTACCCAACAATCTACCAATTGGTGCTAAAATTCACTTAGTAAGTGTATCAAATAACCAATCTGAGCTTAAACATTTTTTTTTTTTTTTTTTTTTGGCCTTATACTAAAACAAACTGCCAATTTAAATCAAAAATAACTAATTTTTTTTGGTGGAAAAAAAATCACTAGTTTGTGTTTCAAGTCTATCAAAGAACCAATTTCTTAACATCAGTATTGTTTTTTCCATGCAAAAAATCAAAAAATTACAGGTACAAAGCAAAACCTAATTACCCAACAAATTACCAATTGATGCTAAAATTCATTTAGAAAGAGTGTAAGAGAATCAATCTTAACTCAAAAAAAGCAAGAATTTTTCACATGCCCATTAACAAATCACTGCTACAAACTAATTTAAGTGGGTAACATTCCATGATTTTAAAGCTAAAACCAATAATTAGTAGCAAAAATTAGTAGAAAAATTGCAATCGTCCATATAATTAATCAACCAACTACAGCAAATATTGAATTGGTACTCAAATATAATAACTTTTCAATTTTTAATATACCCAGAATATAATTGATACATACAGCTAGTGGGTTAAATAAACTACAACATTTTTTGGGGTGAAATAATTTACAACAAAATAACAGGAGTAAATAAATAAATAATTTTAACAAGAAAAAATACAGTATCAATCCATTATTGCAGTCTTCAAAAAAAAAAAAAAAATCATTTATTGCAGAAAGAAAATAGAAAAACAGTACCTTGAAGTTAAACAAGATAATGAAGATGAGAGAGTTGAGAGTGCTAATAATTACATGAAGCAGACTTTTCTTTTCTTTTTTTTGAATCAAACTTTTCTAATTTACCACAAATTTATTTTTCATGGTAAAGAATTAAAGATTAGTACAAGAATCATACCGTTGCATAGCGTACACGCCACTAGGCCACTAATTTAGTAACGTATCTAATTCCTTGAAAAAAAAATTAAAAAATAAATAAATAAAAAATAAAATAAATAACTTTATTTTGTTTTTAGAGAAGCCTGGCGGACTCATTTATTTAGGCTCCGTTCACTTCACCTTATTTTTACTAAAATAAAATTATTTTTGCTAAAATTAAATTATTTTTACTGAACTGAAATTAACTTTACTGAACTGAAATTAATTTTACTAAGTGAAATTATTTTTGCTGAACTGAAATTATTTTTACTGATTTTCAATTATATTTCATCTTTATAGTTACTGAATTTTACTGAACTGAACTGAAATTATTTTCATTGAACCGAACTTATTTTTACTAATATGAAATTATTTTTACTGAACTGAACTTATTTTTTACTGAACTGGAATTATTTTTACTTAATACTCTCCATTTTTAAATACTTGCTCCACTTTCTTTTTTCAACCGTTTTTAAATACTTGCTTCATTACCTTATTTGAAAAGCTTTTACAATATTGAATTAATTTCTCTAACCTAGTGGACCAACCATAATGTTGATCCAGATTTAATAAAAGTTGTTGACAAAAGTAGTATTAAGCATTTTTTTCCAACTTTTAGTTAACTTCATAGGAAACCGTTTCCATCTTTTTCTTCTACATTTATTATATATATATATATATATATATATATATATATATATATATATATATATATATATATATATATATATATATATATATTATTGTAAGAATTTTAGAAACATAGAAAAAAAATCTAAAATTGTTCCAAATTGGTCCAACCCTAGCACAATCGGTATTATTTTTACGGATCTTAAACTTAGTTTTCCATGTCGAACTTTTATTCCAATCCAGTCTTGGGCCGGTGAACAACCTAAATGAGTGGCAAACAAAATCTTCATTCATTATGCATAGGGTTGTAAATGAACCGATACTCTTGTGAACAAACTCGAAAAATACTCGCTTGTTAAGTAACAAACAAGCTTAAATAAAAGTCTTAAGCTCACCAAATAAATGACCAAAGCTCGAACAACATCTTCAACTCTATAATGCTCTCGAACAACTTGTTTAAGTTCATTTATAAGTTTGTTCACGCTCAATTATAACTCAGCCAAAGCTTGCTCTAGCTCGAAAAATATCTATTATTAAAAATACTTTAGCATATTCATAATATTTTACTCTTGCATGTTTGTAAAAACTACAAATTATTTCATCCTATATAGGCATGAAAATTCCGAATTTACCCTTTTCTATATGAAAATAAAATGGATGAATTCAAACTTAAATCACTTTTTAATATAGTATAATGTTAAATTAGTCGTTAGCTTAAACTCGAAATACAAACATGCACATTTGTGAAAAAAGCTCGAACAAGCTAAATCCTTAATGAGCCAAACTCGAATATGATTTTTCAAAAGCTCGAGATAGTTCAAATACTAATACTTGTATTTCTTATCAAACTTAGTCTAAATTGAACAGGCTAGAACTCGACTCGGATCGTTTGTAACTCGCCTAATTATTATTTATGCATATCTGATAATTCATACAAGGTGTGGTCCACACCCATAAACATTTACGCTTGACCTATGTCTTTCATAGGGACAAATTAATATAAGCACCCTGTGTTTGAGATCATAAAATTGTGATCTTCACGTGTTCCTGACTTTATTTGTTGCGTAAAAGGATTAGAAAACGACTTTTCTCACTAATTGTTGATTAGACTAATTAATAACATCGCCATCTAAAATATGGACCAATCATTTCCATGTTAATAAACTGTGCAACTAATACTATTGAACTATTTTTAGGACATGAGCTTGTATGTCACGTGGGAGAGAGGCAACTTAATAGTTAATTAGGTTAATAGTTACAATTCATGCATATTAATGGTGGCCTTTTTTGTGCATTTTAGATATTAGACAACTAGGGCCCTTTTTTAGGTTCAATTTCAATTATAAAATGGTTGTAAAATTCATTTTATCAATGTAGTATGTGATTTATATATATATATATATATATATATATATATATATATATATATTATGATATTATATGATGTATTGATTATACTATATTTTTTTAGGTAAAAGAAATATTTTATATATTGAATGCATAGAACATTTTATTAGGTGTACGGTGGAAATTTATGTAGTATTAAGGGTCTGTTCACTTCACCTTAATTTCTTTTAGTTCAGTTCAGCTCCAATCAGTTCAATTCAGTTCAGTTCAATTCAATTCAGCTCATAATTTCCTTCTCTCGTAAAATATTCATTTTAGTTCTACTTTGTTCAGTTCAATTCAGCTCCAATCAGTTCAATAAATGTGAACATGCCCTAAAAATAATAGAATGATTTCTTTCAAATAATAATAATAATAATAATAATAATAATAATAGTAATAATATTATTATTATTATTATTATTATTATTATTATTATTATTACTATAGAATGGTTTTTCTCCAACCTCTTTTTTTTTCGTCCTCTCTGCTTGACATTATATAATATTAAACAAGAAAACTTCTCACTTCATATTTTTCTTATATTTAAGGGTTTTTTATTTATTTATATATTTTTTGTTTAAAAAGAGGAATTTAAGAATATAATCCATATAGATAAAATGAAATTTCATTAGATGTACTCGGTACATTTCACCTTATTTTTACTTATATGATCTGATCTAAACTTACCTGATCTAATCTGATGTGATCCAATCTGGTATGAACTAATTGTTTAATTTGACCAAACTTTGACTTTATGTGTACAATAGTCTATCATGAAAAAATATACTTGTATCAAGTTGCATCTTGTTAGACTCGAAATAATGTATATTTTATTTTTATGTAATTTTTATAACTTTTTTAATTACAAAATTAATGTCTGAAGTTATTTTTTCTAAAATGATCTTAACTTATTTAATATGATATTATTTGAAATTATTTTTTCTAATATGATTTGAAATAAGTAAAATATAATGAACTAAACAAAGCCTTAATAGTGATTCTTTTGTCAAATATAGGAATGAGGGAAGAACATATATACTCCATAATTGAAGAGCGAGAATAGATTTTAGTCAAGTTTTTTTAGGTGTCCCTATGACCCATCACCTTTAAAATTTAAAAATGACATTGTAGCAAAAAAATTTGGGATATGTTAGCCAACATATACTCCAGGTACCTTCAAATCTTCAATGATAAAATGCTGAAACTTTAAACACGTTCAATGATTTTCTTGGTGTAAGAGATTCATAAGGACAAGTGATGAGAATCGGACACAAAATACCTCTAAAATGGGAGGAAAGCTCTAACCAACTGAGCTATCCTTCACTCTCAAGTCTCAACACACGTTCAATGATAAAATGGTGAAAATTTAAGACACCTTTCATTTAGAGCATGTTCTCTTACGTTGAAATTCAGTTCAGTTCAGTTCAGCTCCTAATTTCCTTCTCTTATAAAATATTCATTTCAGTTCAGTTCAGTTTAGCTTAGTTCAGTTAAGCACAATTCAGTTCAGTTCAGTTCAGCTGAGTTCAGTCAATGAGAACAAGCCCTTAGTTAGAATTGTTTGACAAACACTTAAAAAGCTTTTTTTAACAAATTTAAATTGAGATGTTACTTTAATTTCAAAATAATGAGAGTTTTTTTTTTATTATTATTATTAATATAAATCATATCATCTCTCTCTATTTTCAAATTATATATATATATATATATATATATATATATATATATATATATATATATATATATATATATAAATTGTTACAATAATTTAAGCTCCTTAAAAAAAATAGCTTTACCTAACATCAAATGTAATCAAATTCCTATTTATTTAATTTTAGCTCTTGTCAATTTTAGCTAATACCTTATTACTTATTAATTAAATCCTATTAATTAACTTATAATGTTCAGCTCCTTTTTAAATATTATTGCCACACATATAGCCTTAAGCTAAATATCTTAAATAAAATACTCAAATTATCTAATTTTAAGTTCATTATATATTATATTCCAGTATACGTCTAAAAAAAAACCTAAAAGGAAAAATTGAAAATTGCAATGATGTGAATTGGGTCCTTGAATATTATTAGGGGTCTAATTTAACAATCATATAATATTATACAAAATTCTCAATTGAATTATTGGTTCATAGCCATTCCTTATTATAATAAATGTTTTTTTTTTTTTTTGGAAGTTTTATGAAATTATGACATTGAAGTCGACGTAAAAATAAGCTTAAAAATTCATATATATATATATATATATATATATATATATATATATATATATATATATATATATATATATATATATATATATAAATTGTTATAGTTGGCAAATAAGACATATTATTTTCGTCTAGAAGTAGAATTGCCCCGTTTGTAGTGATTGTATAATTGAGGCATGCATATTGCATATCACCTTATCATTGATTTATAAACATCTTATCAAAGATTGTACACTAAGAACAAGACCAAAAAGAAGAAGAGTTGACAATTAATTAAATAATTTATTTATTAATCAATTAAATAATTGCCAAAACATAGAAATTCAAGGAATGAAATGATTGTAAGACTCAACTAAGCAACATGGGATGTCCGTGTTGCGCTATTCATTGACATAGCTAGGATTAAACACGACTAAACCGTTTTGTATTGTGTTTGGCATTTTCTTAATATCTTACATTCTTACATAAAATAAATAAATAAATAAAAAGAGGATGATTAGCTCAATTTATAGATCTAGATTACCAAATTAATACTTGTATTACAATAGATATACAGTTGTGATTAGGGGTGTGCAGAAATGGACCTGGACCGGAAAACCGACCGAGACCGGACCGGAATTGGATCGGACTGGCCCTGACCGGTTGATTCCGGTCCGGTCTTCGGTCCTCACAAATTAGGGATTCCGGGTTTTCGGTCCGGTCCGGGTAAAAACCGGAATGTGTATTTTTGTAATTTTTTGGGTGAAAA